AAATTGGATTTTGTAAAACACAAGCATTGTAATGGGCCTGTGAATTAAAGAATGTGAAGCAATATGACGGTTTCATGCTGTGCTTTATTAAGCATCACTGTGGCAGTGTTATACCAGCAAAAGTGAAGGTGACTTCTGCAAATAACCCAGAATCTAAGTGGCAAACAAGACAGAATTTTCTAATATTTTGCATTGCTTTTTGTCTTCTAGAGTATCAGGGCTTCAGGGCTGGTGCTGCTGGAGACCATTCTTTTTGGATCGCTTCTTCTGTACTTTCCAGTAAGTCAAACTATTGGTTTTTTTAAAAAAAAGTTACATCCTTGCCAATATTTTAAAACATTGTATGCATCACCTTGATGAAAATATAAATGTCAAAGCTATTTATATAATTGTTAGTTTAACCTGACTATAAAAGGTGCCGTGTTCTGTAAATATTCTGAAGTACACTTGAATGTTTTACTGTTTTTGTAATTCTCTGTTTTCAGTTTAGGGGACTAGGCAGTGCTTTTTACTTGGAAGTTTTTATGTTTTCTGGGTTAAGATGAGTTCTTGCTTTGGAAGACAATAACTCCCTAAACTATGCTATAGGAAAAATATGCCAGGTTTGTAAAAAGAAGACACTGATTATACCAACTATTTCTCTGGAATGTAGTACAAAGGGGAGTAATTGTTTCCGTCTATTACTGACATACATTTTTATGTTGCTGAAGCTACATGACATCTGCAATACCATATATTTAGGAAAATGAGGTGGTATTATTCCTATGCCTTAACTGGAAAACAAAAAGTAATTTCACAGTTGCATAAAGAATATATTACAGGACTTATAGAAATACAGATCTTTTCTCGTTTCAAAAATCCCATAAAACCCAAGTTTGTTAATTGCCACATAAACCAAATATAATGGTTAGCTAAAGCATAACATCAAAGTGCAATTTGAATGAAGTTGATAGAAAGCATGGAGATCAGGAGACAGAAACAAAGATGGAGTTGTGGATTGTTTTAAAATATGTTTATGTTCTCTTTTCCTCAGTAGTCTGAATCTTTTGTGCTTTTACAGACCAACATGTAGTTACTGAGAGAGTATCTGGAAAACAGAACTCCTTAGCAGTTGTAGAACAAGTAGCAAATAAACTAGTAGAGTGAGGTGTAAAAGATAATATAATAAACACAAATCCTGATGGAATTTTCATACTTTTTAAAAAATCACATGGGCTTTTCAAGTTCTGAAGAAAAACTATGTGCATTTCTAGGACAGTGTTAGGTGTTTTTTCATCCTTCACATTGCAGATATCAAGAAGAAAGAAGTTTTGTTTTTTCCATATTGTACTTTTTACAGCTTTGCAATACCTCTCCCTGAAGTTTTCAGAACTTTTTTCACATTCTTTTCTAGTGAGCAGAACAGAAAGCCTGTGCACTGCTTCCTCAGCTGGTGTAGAAAAGGTACAAAGCATTTGCAGGAATTCATAGCATTGAGCATAACACGAAGGGTTTCCTTTCCATGGCTGTCTACTCTTTGCTTTCCCATAGAACCACGGAGGCTCCATCAATTTGGCATATTCTGAGGAAAGCTTTTTTGCTCAAAATTCCTGATTAGCCTGTCTCCCAATTATAGATACTTGAGTAGAGCTTGTCGTTCTCTGCTCATCTCATTCTCATACTGTAGAAACCTGTCCACTGAGAACACTATTAGAAGCTAATACGCGAAGTGTATGGCCTGGCTTCTCTCTTACAGCTGTTTTATGTTCCCATACTCTTTACTGGGGCTTTCTTTTTCACTTATGCAGGTAATTACTAATGAGGCTGAAACAAAAACCAGAAAAATTTAATAATTTCTATTTTCAAGACATTGGGGGAGGGATGTAGAGAGTGTGATAGTGGGAGATCATATTAATATTTGGACAGAGAAATTAATCCTGATTTCACCACCAGCAAGAATATGGTTTTGTAAAAAAACAAAGAAGATTGGAACTGATACAGAAATATTTGGATTTCAGCATCTTCATCCCTCAATTCACTTTAAGGAAGATTTCATAAATTTCTAATCCAAGACAAGACAGTGGAACAATAAATGTGTGAAGGTAAAACATAGCCAGAGAAGAAAACCTTGAAGAAAGAAAAACTGTTCTGCAAGGTTTTTTCCTTTTTGTATCATCTCTTCTTCTGTTGTGGTTTGGAAGGAAAATCAAAAAGCTTTACTTTTGTGCTCAACTAAGTGCAGAATTACACAGCTTGCCTTAGTCCATGTACAATGTACATTGATAAAATTGCAGCATTTCAGTTCTAAATAACACAAATCTCTGTTCACTTAAGGATTCAGAGCAAAATTACATTCTTATGTACACTACATTCTTATTAGATTTTCTCAGCACTGCCTTAAGTCTTTTACATCTTCACTTTCAACTTATCTAGAGTTTCCTAATTCTCCCTTTTTCTACATTAGTTTAGCCACTCTATCTTGGATTGTTCTGGGAGCCTTCAGCATGCAAATTTTGCTGTGTTCAGAAGGGCTTTATTGCATTTCTGACTTCCCCTACCCTCCAATTAAATGGAAACCAAAACCTACTTTGTTACATTGCTTAATTTCTTTCACTAATTGGCATTGTTTTTATGTCTACATGTAGTAATCTATTTGTAGTGTAGCATCATTAATTGAAAAATAATATCACCAGCCAGCTGCTTTTGGTGAGAAAAACAGCTGTTACAATGCCCTTCTAACCAAACGGGAAGTGCAAATGATGGTCTCCACCAAAATTTATTATTCAAATTCTGCTATATTGATAACAACACACTGATCTTTCCTGAATTATAAGCAGGCAGATGAGCTTTGTCTATTACATATGCATGGATTTTACCCAGCACTTTCTGGGCCGCTCTTGTTTCTAAGGCTCTAATTTCTTACATTTTCTGTACTTCTCTCAGTAACATCTCTGATTTCCCTTTGCTTGGTCTTTCCAGTTATCGATGGACCTCCTCCAAATGAATGCTGGTCTTTCTAATTGATTTCACCTGCTCTTTGATTTCTTTACTCTTAGATTTTGAAGAGAGGGCAAAAGCCTGATTGTTTTTTGGAGGAGTCTCATAACTTCTATACTTGGCATCTGAGGAAAGGATTCTCATTACTTTCCTTTTCCAGAAATACTGGCTGTGGTGGAGCTTTTAGACATTTCCTGACTCCCTTTCTGGCTAATGCTTGGAATGCATCTTGCATGAGCACAGGTTTGAAAACTCTTTGGGTTTAGCAAAGACCTTAAATAAAGCAAGCACAAACAAAATGTTGTAATGGAGTAGCTGGTTAATTGCCTTGGGGATCAGATCTCAGATAATTTTAGAGAACTGTAATGGACACAGGTTGGAAAATAGGAAATTCTTTTTAGATACCAGGAAATATTTTTTACCATAAAAGTGGTCAAATACTGGAACAGGTTGCTCAGAGAGTTTGTGGTTCTTGGAGGTATCAGGACTTGACTGGACACAACTCTCAGCGACCTGGCCTGATTAGACCTGCTTTGAGCAAGGGGCTGGACTAGATGACCTCTGGAGCTCCTTGCAAATGAAATTATTCTAGGAGGCTGTGTTTCTTATATATGTATCCATAGATGAAACAGTTGTTCTATGCTTACCGAATAGTTAGTGAAGAGAAACTGGTCCTTTTATGACTCATTTTAGACTTTGACTTGAAGATGAGCTGGATCATGGCCAAGGCTTCATTGACTGTAAAGGAAGCCTGGGGTACATGCCTCAAATGGTGATGAATTCCACCCTAGGCAGCTATACATTTTATGATATATTAAACACTTACCATATTGCTAGTCTTCAACTGGAACTCCAGAACAGTTGGGAGGAACCTTTATAACAGTGAGGTCAGTTAGGCCATAAGATGAACTAGCTTGGGAGGCTGCAGAGTATCTTTTTTAAGACTGATAGGATTTTCCTCTTCAGTCTTCTTTTGGCTGATGTCCTGGTTTGAGCTGTTTTACTCAGGTCTGACAGCACTGCTCTCGATCCCCTCCCCCTCTCACCCAGGTAGGGAAGGAGACAGAGAAAAAGAGAGAGACTTGGCTGGATTGAAAACTAAACTATACAGCTTTAATTAAACACTAATGAATGATATAAGAAAATATATACAATTATGCAATTATATACAAATATGTTCAGATATGGGCAAAAGCCTCTAGCCTCCCCCCACCCCCAGCAACTCCCACAGCACTCCCCTGAGCTGGAACAGTCCAAGAAGTCCCAGAGCTGCTGCTGGAGAGAGCACAGAGTGATGAGGGTCAGGAGAGCTTGAGCCCAGGGCTCGATGGTGATAGATGGACAGAGTCCTCCCCAGACACCGGCCATGGATGGAAGAGAAGGAAGGAAGTTGTCTTCTGTGATCTCTGACCTTCCTCTGAGCTTATGTAGATAATATGGAATGTAATATCTCTGGCCAATTTTGCTGTCTGTCTAACTCAGCCTCCTACAGGGGGGTAGTGTCTGAGCCGGCAGAGTAAAGATGTGACCTTGAAGACTCACCAGTTAGAAAAACATTCCACTGTCTTATCAGCTCTAGTAAGAACAGAGTGTTGCTAGTTAAAAGAAAGCTCACTGAAGAAAAAAAAATCAGTAAAAGGGAAAATTGGCTTCATCCTGGCTCAAACCAGGACAGCTAAATAATCAAAATTATTTGTCTTTACTGCTATTCCTTGTTTTTCCAAACCTTGCATTATAATGAGGTCATATTGCTATCAGTTCAGAGAAACGGAGCTGCCAGCTGGCAGTGCACTGACATCCAAATGCTCATGAAACAGTTCAGTATTGAAGCTGGAGTAAACTTCATGCTCAAACATCTCTTGTCTCGATGATCTTGAAGGTCTTTTCCAACCAAGACAATTCTATGATTTAGTGATGTTGTTGCATGCAGTAGCTGTTAGGATCTTCTTCTGGGACTGTGCCTCTTCCTCTTTCATGCTTAAGCTAGAATGCCCTACCCTTTTGAGTTATGAGGAGTAGAAAGAGGTGAGTAGTGGAGCTTAGATGCAGATGTGAGCTTTTCCCCCAATCTGTATGTACATTAGCATGGGAAAGGTGAGCCATGAGTGTTGAATTAGGCTCTGGTAGCTCCAGTAGTCACAGCTCTAAACAGAGCAAGAAGTTCACTGGAAGGCTCTGGTTTTGGTATTTATGGATGTGAAAGTGGAATAGCGCATGATACTTACACGCATTTGTCCCTGAAATGAGCTTTTAAGGTCTATTTTAAGGGATGCATTAAAAGAGCTCGGTCACTGTTCCTCACA